CAAGCAATCTAAGTCGAACTTAATTTGCTTGCAAAACATAAGGTATTTGGACCTGTAGCTCATACTCCTCCACATGTGAAGCCTATTAGCTATAAGTGGGTTTTCGTTCGGAAGCGTAATGAGAAGAATGAAATTATGCGTTACAAAGCTCGTCTTGTTGTGCAAGGCTTCTCACAACATCCCGGGATTGACAATGACGAAATTTATTCACCAGTTATTGATGTGATTACTTTTCGCTACCTTATCATTTTGGTAGTTTTCGAAAACTTGAGTATGCACCTGATGGATGTAATAACTGCGTATCTCTATGAGGATCTTGATATGGAAATTTATATGAAAGTTCCCAAAGGACTTACATTGACTAGATCAAAATTTTCAAACCCCGAAACACATTCTTAATTCGGCTAAGGCATTTGCTTTACGATTTGAAACATTCCAAAAGAATGTGGTATAACCGTTTGAGTGAGTATTTGACTAGTCAGGGATATGTGAACAACGAACTATGCATTTGCATGTTCATTAAGAAGTCACATTCTGGTTTTATAATTGTTGCAGTTTATGTTGACAACATGAAACTCATTGGAACTCCTAAAGAGCTTGAGATAATTGCCACACACCTTAAGTTGAAATTTGAGATGAAAGATCTAGGAAAGACTCGATATTGTCTCGATCCCGAGATACAGCACCATTCAAATGGAATCTTAGTACATCAATTGAACTACACCCAGAAAGTGTTGCGCCGCTTTAACAAGGATAAAGTAAAGCCTTCCAGTACTCCTATGGTGGTACGATCGCTAGATGCAAAACGAGATCTCTTCCGTCCGAAGGAGGATGATGAAGAGATTTTAAAGCCTGAAGGTCCTTATCTAAGTGCGATAGCGCTTTATTGTATTTAGCTCAATACACTAAACCCGACATATCCTTCATTGTTAATCTTTTGGCAAGATACAGTAATGCACCGACACATAAACACTGGACTGATGTTAAAGACATCTTCCATTACCTTAAGGGTACTATGGATCTAGGCCTATTATATCCTTACGAATCCTCAAGTGATGTCGCACCCCCTTATCATAAGTCAGTTCTCGTCTTGTTGGTTATGCCGACGCATAATACTTATCTGATCTGTACAAGGCGCACTCTTAAATGGGTTATGTCTTTACCATTAGAGGCACCCCAATCTCTTGGAGGTTAACTAAACAGAACTTAGTTGCCACTTCATCTAACCATTCTGAAATTCTCTCCCTACATGAAGCAACTTGAGAATGCTTCTGGTTGAGAGCAGTTGTGGGCCATATTTGAAGCTCCTATGATCTTTACCCTATTGGTGACGTCTTGACGATGATTTATGAAGATAATATAGCACGCATCAAACAACTCAAGAACAATTACATCAAATAAGACAACACCAAGCACATTGTGCCAAAGTTCTTCTTTTCACATCAACAGTAAAAGCATTAGAAGATTAAAGTAACGCAAATCCATTCACAAGACAATCTGGCTGACCTCTTCACCAAATCACTACCGAAGGCGACGTTTCAGAAGCTTGTTCAAAGAATAGGTATGCCTAGACTTTCTGAGTTGTAACATTGTTATTTCTCTTTGGAATTGTGTCAAACTCAAGGGAAGTATCCTGAAGTATACTTGCTTGATCTTAATGTACTCTTTTCCCCTACGATTAGGAGCATTTTTCCCATTGGGTTTTTGGTACCTAACAAGGTTTTGACGAGGCACCCATCTTAGGTTGATCATATCCTTGATGATGTCCTGTAGACGTTTCATTTGACTTTGCATTTCTCATGCATTTTTCCTTAGACTATGGATTTTGTCCGTATTTGGATTTTACCATAGCCTTTGGGTTTTTGTGAGACTTAGTTCCATATGCAAGTTCCTACTTTACTTTGAGACTAGCTTGTTCCCAAAATCAGTGCCGACGAGTCGACTTCCTCAACTCTACATGATGCCGAATCTACTTGAGTATTTACACACTCAAGGGGAAGTGTTATAAACTTTGTATTTAAGTATGATTGTGTAAATCCTAGATTAGATTTGATACTAGTTATTCTTTCCTATTAAGACTTGTATTCCTTGGAGGAGAATGATTTTTCCCTTCCTTATTACTATAAATAAAGGCACTGCGTAGGGAGAATAACACATCCTCTACACAACCTTACAAACACATCTCTCTCCCTCTCTACTGTGCCCCCTCTCTCCCTTGTCAGATTAAAATAAACCACAACAAATCCTTTTATTAAGTTTTAATTGTTAGACTTTGAATTTGAATATGTGTGTAGACATCAAAATTTCGGTGAAGTAAATATTCACTGACACATTAAAGTTTCAACATGTCAGAGCATACGTGGCATACGCCATCTGTCTCACAAATCATACACATGGATGTAACTCATTAAAATTGTACGAGTCATCAAGAAAGACAAGTGTCAATACTTGGTTGGTAGAAAGGAATTGTTTGATTGTAATTTAATTAAATCAAATACTAACTGATGGAGTCAAATCACGAACCGGCCCACAAATTGAGTTGTGATTCTTTTGTCAATTAATCAAGCCCACAACCAAGGCTAATACCATCCATAAGCAAAGCTTGGAGAGTCTAAAAATAGGAACCTCTAAGATAAAGAAAAGGGAGTCAGAAAATCATTCACGTCCAAATGCTGAAGCTTTGAAACTTTGAAGCTCTCAAGCAGTCAAACCCCCCAAACACTCAAACACTCAAGAAGACTCGAAAAACCCTCATCGTTCTTCGTCAAACCCATGAAGAACCACCAAGCACCCCCTACAAGTGTTGGTTCCTCCATTGCCAAGAGTCAAAACCTTGCAGCATCCGTTCATCCAAGATCAAGTCATCGTGACCCTCAGATTAACAACACTCATCTACACATTTCGAAGATCGAATTAGAGGATTCAAGTTTTAAAGAAATTGTACCCTAATTTACATTAATATAAATATTATTTTCCTTCTTAATCTCAATTCATAGAAAAGGAAAAAAAAGCTTGCTTTGATTCTCCTGCACATAAGCTTCCTAGCAGGACCCAAAGTCATGAGCAATTTTGTGACTTTATGTTTTGCTTTTTTGTCATATGGATTGTATCATCTGGGTTTTGGTAGATCCGGTGATTTGAGACCCGTTAGGGGAGTTGGCGTGTTGGGTTGGCAATGTAACGGCAAAGGGTGTGAAAATCCAAGCTTTTTCAATAGATGTGCGGCAAGCGGCAAATGGAAGGAAATAGACAAGAATAGCAGAGGAACGAAGTAGTGTAGTAGAGGAATGAAGCAGGTCCGTCTTAGCTAGTCCCATGGTTTTCGGGGACTCTAGCTAAGAACTTCTAGCGACACTGCCAATCCTAACTAATGTTACTAATGTTAGTCCTGCATACTAACAAACACTGGACTACACTAGGAGTTAGTCCAGTCTAGTCCAATGACGCTTAGTGAAGCCAAACAAATGGGCCTTAAAGGTGGTAGTGGTCCCTAAATGGGACTCCATTGGAGATGCTCTAGGTAAGTTTACGAAAACTCAGAACCATAACTAAACCAATTGATTACAGTTTGATGATTAGGCCTTCTAATTTCATTTTATTTTTTGTTAAAACTAATACAGTTTGGATGGGCCAACTTGGCCGGTTCAGTCAGATTGATGCCCACTCCTATACGAAACAGTTAAAACTGCTCAAATTAGGGAAGAGGTGGTTAAATGTGAAAATATAGACTTTTTGCAATCAATAAGGATTCGACATGTGGTGCTTCTAAGTTGATTTTCATTGCTTTAGATCACCTACGAGTGGGAACATTTCTACTCCCCACCCCAAGTGATGGTGATGCTCACCACCCTATTTATTACTGTTAGATAAATTTAAATTTTGAAATTGGGTACTGGATAAACATAAATTTCAAAACTTAAACTCATGCAACAGTGATAAATAAGATGATGAGCATTAGTACCACTTTAGGGTGATTAACAAAAATATTCCCACAATACCTAAAGCAACCAAAATGTTAGTGTAGTAGAATCTAATATGGGCTAGGTCTTATAAAACTCTGTGGAATTAGGTTTACTTGTACACCAAGTCACTTGGCATATATATGTATATGTATCCTTGTAAGGTCAATGAAATTAATACAATTATAATTCAACATGGTATCACTCGTTTAGGTTTCCCGTTTCATGGTAAACCCCTAACTTTCTCCCTCTTTTCCCAATTCTTGTTGTCTCCTTAGGCTATTTTTCCCATACACTTTTTCCTTGTACAGTGACCCCTCCCCTGTCCCGTCCATCATGACTACTCAAACATCTTCCTCCTCTACACCCATTGGACCTTCTCTCTTTGGTCCTAACGTTGCTCACTTTCTAAAACTCACCGACTCCAATTATCTCCTTTGGCTTAGTCAGATGATGCTGCTTCATATGGGTCACAATTGTTTTGGTTACGTGCATGGCACAATTCAAGCTCCTCCCGTTACTCTTCCTACTACTGACAAGGAGCCAGCTCGCCAGAATTCACTACGCAGTTCCAAACTGATAAGTTGGTTGTCAGCTATTTGACTTCCACTCTTTATGAACCTATTTTGTCCCTCACTATTGGCAAAACCTCCCGTCATGCGATTTAGGAGCATCTTCATGTGCACTTTTCTCAAGCTTCTCTTTCTAATGCTACCAACCTTTGGTTGCAACTTGTGAAATCTTCAGAAGGGTTCTCATTTCATCTCGGACTATCTTGAACAAGCTAAATTTGTCATTGACTCTCATGCTGCTATTAATCAACCCGTCTCTAATACTGATTTGGTGAGTTCTATTCTCAAAGGTATTGGTGCTGATTATTCCGTATTTGTGACTGCTGTCATTAATTCTCCACCCCTGCTTGAGTTCCCGGACTTACGATCTCGCCTATTGCAATTTGTATCATAAAATAGTTCACATCCACAAGCACCATGTGTCGCGTCCTCATTGATCACAAAAAGCCCATATTTCCACATTTACCCCCACCACTCTAGCCTGACTTGGTTTCCACCCGCTCCCTTGAATACTCCCCAAACAGCACAAGCAACAAATTCTCAGCTGTGATTGTGAACCGGTGAAGGGAAACGCTAAGAAAGCTCCGAAAATGACAGAGGCAGTCATAAGAAAAAAGCCGGGGATGGCGAGCGTGAAGGACATGCCGGTTCTCCAGGACGGTCCACCGCCGGGGGGGTTTGCTCCGGTTCGATACGCTCGCCGGATCCCCAACAAAGGTCCCAGCTCAGTTGCCATATTCCTTGCTGCCTTTGGTACCTTCTCTTGGGGCATGTACCAAGTCGGAAAGGGCAACAAGATCCGAAGGTCTGAGATTTTTCATCTTTTTCGTATTGCTTTTTAAATTTTGTTATATGGGTTTCGTTTTAATTTTTTGAATTCCCTTTTTATTTTGTGGAATTGAGCCACAGAAATGCGGATGATCTTTCTGGGTTTTTTTTTTGTTTCATTGAATTCTTTTGCAATTGTTGTAACCGTAGTATTTTTCTTTGATAAATTACTGTAATTCCCGATGTTTAGCTTACAATTTCAGGGGTTTTAATTCGTATTCATGAATTTTTGGAGGCATAATTTGCAAACTGTTAAATTCTTTATTTTTAGGGGCATGTGAGTAGTTAGATGATATGCAGGACGGTCATATTGATTACGGTTAATTTGGGCTGAGCTGAGGATTAAGTAAAAAGAGCATTTTGGATGAACGGGTAAAGGGGAAGAATTCAGGTGTAGCCGTATGGTAAGCACATTCTCCGATAGTAATAGTCCTGTGCTCAACTATTAGGGTAGTCCATTTAATACTTGCGAAAATAGACGCGAATACATTCATAATGTGCTAAGGGGCTCATTTTGCAGCCTGCATTACATTGGTAACAACTCTGAATTGTATCAATTAGTTTGAATTCCATATTTGGACTGGTTTTTCTTAGCATTGCCTGTTTTATCCAGATCCCACCGAGTATAGTATGTAGGTGTGCATGAGTAATGCCTGCAGAGTATTAACTTATCAGAACAGCCTCCTCAGCCCCTCTGCTCCCTATTTCCGGATTATCATCTCATTCCATCAGCCACTTAAGCCTCACCCTCATCTTTCACATATGTTTGTGACCTCTGCTCCCCCTCCTCTGCCTCCCACATATCTCCTTCCACACACCACTCACCAGATTGGCAGCATAACCAACCATCCCACCTCTAGTAACCGTCCTAATTCAGCTTGCACAATCAGAATACGGATTGATCTGGTGTGTCATAACCACCCAAAAGGAATCAACTTTGGAGGCATGTCGTAAATGTCTGCTAGACAAGTGTTCGAATAAAGACGAAGAATCAGAGTTGATATTTTTCCTTTGTTTCTTTATGCGTGTGCTTGCTCATATAAAACAAAGAATAAAAGATTGAAAGGTGATGGTTTTTGCTCCTCTTGCTTAGGGCTAAAGAATGACGAGGAATGCAATGGAGAGTTTAAACCCTTTATTTTTTACTTTGGTTTCAAGGTCATGTTGTTTGGGCGATATGGACTATGCAGTTCAGTCTATGTTTTCTATACCAGAATAAGGATGTTTTGGTTTTATGTTCCAAAAATGAACCAAACTTGGGCAGAGTTCGACCCTGAATGCATCAATTGCATATCCCTGAAATGCGGGGTGCTGATGCTTTAACTAACCCAGATAGTGGATATTCTTGTGCCTTCATTTCATGCAGTTTCTTACTTGTTCCATGGTACCTTTTAATTTGAGGTGTCAGTTTTGAGCTTTGGAGACAATCGGCAGGTGTTCTTGGTTAGTTCATCCATCTGCTTTCCTCAGCATTTATAGCCTTGCTTATTTGAAGCCTTTCTTGAAATCAAACCTTCAGCTAGGTTAGTCCTCTAGGTTATCGTGTGTGATCCATTTTTATGTGACACCTAAAGCTCTATCCCCAACTGATGTGCAAGGCTAGTATAAATTAAATTACGTCTTCATTCACTTGTCAAATTGGATGCTGCCATGAGGTAATAGTAAGAAAATAAGCAGATGATAGGTGTCCTCTTATGATTTATTATGATGCTTATGAAATGGTGATCTTGGTTCCTTGGGATGAAAATGTTAGAATGAGCTTTTAAGTCTTCATGGTTAATAGAAACATTTCATTGACTTTATGGTGATAGAAAAGCCGAAGATGTGTATATGTTGATTTTTAATAGATAATTTTGAAATACGAGATTGGGGTGGCTATTTGGACAGCGGTAGCTACTGCTTTATCTGTTTTTTGCACGTATTTTCTTACATGCCCTTGACTTTTATTTTTCCTTGGGAATGAGATTGGGGTGGAAGATGGAAATATTACTGTGATTTGCTTCAATTTTAATTTTACATCATTAGGAGAATACTTGATTTTCTTTTCCTGTCATAGTAACAAGTAATTAATTATTTGGGTAAGCGGAGCCAACTATTTGTTCTCATTGATCGGTTCCTGAATATAATGTATATTACAAGCTTAAAAATTATCTTTATATAGGGCGCTCAAGGAAGAAAAGTATGCTGCTCGCAGAGCAATACTGCCAGTGCTTCAAGCTGAAGAAGATGAAAGGTAAACTGATTATTTTGTTGGTTGTCTCCTTACAGTCATGTCTCATGTGCGTAATCTTCATCTCCCAGAATTGCAAGTCAACAAATCCACTTATCTGTCTGTTCTGTTTCTTCAGATATGTCAAAGAGTGGAAAAAGTATCTTGAGTACGAGGCTGAAGTAATGAAGGATGTGCCTAATTGGAAAGTTGGCGAGAGTGTCTACAATTCTGGAAAATGGATGCCCCCAGCAACGGGCGAGCTCCGCCCTGAAGTTTGGTGATACTTTTTTCCACTCCAGTTGCTTGCGTGATCGGCTCTAGTTGTTTTGTTCTCTCTTATTGCATGTTTGCTTTGGTGCGATGCCATTGCCTTGTTCTTGTGAAATAAAAATGCAGCAGAAAACCTATTCTTCTTGTTTGCAAATACAACAACAGCAATTATCTTATTTTGCCCCCCTTATTATCATTCTCTTCTTCATTACCTAAGATTAAGAGTTAGAACAAGGAAGACTTTTCGTTCACTGTGCTATTCGACGATGCCTAAAACCCGTGATAATTTATCTGACTGTATTGAACAAATTTTATGAGGATTAATTTTACTTCAAAAAGGGTTAAGAGTTACTTGTTACCTAAGAATGAGTGGAGCCGGGAAAACTCCGATAGCGGATTGGATCCATCAATGAGTAATGCAAAGGAGAAACCGAGCCCGTGAAGGCGCGGGACGGGAGGAAGAAAAATTCAAGCAGACAAGAGCCTCCTAGGCAGATGTGTTTCTTGGCAGAGGATTCACGTATTTTCTGCAAACACAAGAAAAGAACTTATATAAACAAATCCAATGTAGATCATTGATTACTTGTTACGTGAACTAGGGTTGTCGAAAAAAGTTTACCAAGCTGATCACACGAGAAACCGCTCGTCAGATGTGAACATTTTAGCTCTACAAAAGGCTCTAGCCTTCAAATCCTGACGGACTTGTTCTCTATGCAACAGATATGCTTCCGCCACTTCCCGTTTAATTCCGACGATCCAACTTGATGATAAATTCCAAAAGGTAAAACAATCACAGAGGTTCTAAATGCATATCAGCACAGTAATACTGACATAACAAAAGTTCCCGTACAAAACAGAAATGCGAATATCCGCCTTGAGAGATGAAGGTTGAGAATTATCCGCGGTTGAGGGAGAACAACTTGGCGAATTCTTTCCAGCCCTTGTGAAACCACAGCCTTCCCTCACCCCTTCCCAATTTAATTGAGGAATATCGAGTCTGGCAGCCAATCTCCATAACTTCAACTTTCATTCCAAGGAAATGGAAAATGTCATTTACATAAAATCCAGGAATAATGCATTTAACAAGATCTGGACTCAATGCCGAAATGGCCAAAACAATAGTTCCACTGGATGCGAACAAACTCCGCATTTAAGTTTCTCTAAGCCTTCCTTTCACATATAGAAGATAATAAACTTATGGCGGTAAGCCTCATAATTAACACCATGTCCTACACCAGTCTCTCTTTTGTCACCTTTGTTCTGGCAATCTTGACAATAAGTACACTTGCTGCTACATCATCCCCTACTCTAGCAGAAAAAGTTACTAATCGCCATTACGAGATTCACGTCATCAATGGCTTCACCGACAGCGATAAGCCATTGATCATACATTGTCTGTCCAAAGATGGCTATCTTGGCGTGCATACCATTTGGAAGGATCGAGAGTACAATTGGGATTTCGGAATCGGCATTGGAAGAGCATTCGCTGCTCCTGCGACTTTGTATGGGATTCACAGCAGCAACACTCTGACGTTCTCTATGGGGGTTCGATGAAAAAACACATAAGCTGCTATGGAACAGAGAGGTATTTTTGGTTAGTTAAAGAGGCTGGTGTGGAGCCTAAAATAATCCCAAATATTCTAGAGGCGACACGTGAACTTTTATTTAAGAAAGATAAGATTGTCCTCAATAAATGGGCAGGCTTCTCAGATGCTCCCACGCACAGCTTACACCCCTGGAGGTCTCAGCAGCTGAATACGACTGCCCATAGCTCACCTGCCCTTGACAAAGAATTAAGGATAAGGATTAATTACCCAAATCCTATCTTTAATACATTCCTTATTGAAGATTGACTCCAATCAAGTAAGTAATCCCAATTTAAATCAATTAGGGATAATTACACCATTATATCAAAATATTATTTCCTATTTAACATCTTGGATATATTTAGATAATGTCTCTCCATTAAACACTATATGGCCGGCCCTAACCCTATAAATACCCCATATTCTACCAAATTTTGAGAGTTTTTGCAACCTTAAAAAAACACTAAACACTTTACTCTCTCAGAGAAACTAACTTAGGCATCGGAGATCCGTTGACCTAACCCTTTTGTAGGTGCATTTTCGTCAAGACTGAAGACGGCGGAAATTTGCATTGACAAATTTGTGCTTTCATTGAGAGCGGATTCAAAACATTCAAAGAAGCCTTTCGCATTTGTTTCTTAAATTTTTTGTTACATTGAATTTCTCACACGTCATATCAATAATTTTTCCAACAAATGTTTCTTGATCAATCCCTGGAGAAAGGATACAATGGTAGGAAACTCAAAAACTACAACAAACAGAACCTCGTACGTTCAACCGAAAAATGGAGACGAGGACATAGCCCCACGTCAGAGGTCCTCAAGGTTCAACGTGACAACAGGAAGAGCCCCACCGTCGCGAAGCCACACCGCTACCACCATCATCGTGACCCACCAGGCCACGACACCATTTCCACCTTTACAGTGCCGCACTCTACGAAACCTTAGGTTACCAAACCCTAGGCAAGAGACCCAGGTCCACTTCCAAGCCCATAGGCAGGAGGCCCAAAACTTGGCGTCTACCATAGCAAGCCCTGGGCAAGAGGCCTAGCCCACTGTAGTAGCAGGCCTTGTTCCACAGCAAGCCCAAACCCGAGCCCAAAATGCGGCAACTACTGCCAGCCAGGCAACTCAACGAGCCCAGGCCGAAGCCATTCAGCCAGCAGGCCATGATGTGGCAGCCCAACAGCCAAAAGGGCTTATGGCCATGCAAGCCCAAGGTGAGCAGGCGCCAGTCCAATGCGTCGCGCGACCTGCTCCGACGACCTCGCCCGTGGCCCAATCCATTCCGAGGTCACCTCCAGCAGTCCAGATTTTGACCACAGGTCCCACGATCAATTCAAGGTTACTTACACCCCATTTTTCTACAAGAATGCTCACTTTGGGCTCAAGCTTTGTACCTGTAATCCAAGCTCTTCCAATCCAAATGGCAAGCACCACCTGCTTTAGCAAATCGCCAATTCAACGAACGCCCTCCCGTAGCAGACCACCTTGGTGAACCAACTCCTCAAGGGTATCAAGATGCAGTGCGCCCCAGACAAGGTGTCCTAAAGCAAGACAAGGGCGGAAGAACGTGACTCATTCCAGTGACATCCCAGCAAAAAGCCACTCAACCTGCCACGAATCGTGTGTTCGGGTAGTGTACACTCTCGTTTGGGCCCTCGGGGAAACGTCTTTTCTTGCCTAAATACGCAGAGAAGCGTTCATTCCTGACTCGGTTCATGAGTCAGTGTACATTCGATGTTGGGTCCATACTCCGATGAGCACTCAGGACATTCCAGGCGAAGCGTCCACATGAGGCTAGGCCCATAAAGAGATCCTCCTACATGGCAACGGAGTAGGCAACCACCTGACGCCCAGAGAAAAGGACGTGAGTAGTTCAACTCAAGTTCCATTGGCAACCTCCGCTAAGAGCGACAACGAGCAGCATAACATAAACTACATGCACAGTAACCGCAACACAGACGAGCAGGATATGCCTAAGAGCAACATAGACTAGTAAATCACACCTAAGGCAGCTGGAGGCTCGACTGCCTCACCAGGCGCAAATCCATGAGGAACTACAAAGACTCATAGCAGAGCAGCTGTGCAGATTCCAGCGCGTTAACACTACCGACGACCTTCGTAAAGACGTGGCCAACATGAGCAAATCCGGACAGGCACTTGAAAAATGAGGCAAGTGAAAATGATACACTAAAGCATGTGGAGACAAGCGCAACAAATACATATGCTGATTCATCTGCTACTTCTTCAAAAGAAAAATTATCTCATATCATTAGGTTCGAAAGCAAATGTATTTCATATCATGCTTTTTCCCTATCTTTTCCTTTGCCCTTGCTCTTACCTGCAAGACAAGGAGAAAGAAAGCAATCAGTTGGAACCCAAAATCAAACTTCCGGTCTGGAACTAATTACCCAAAACCTTTGCCTGGTTGCTTACCTAACATTGCTCTCGAGTGCCCGTCTTCAACTGTTGTTAGGTCTCGAATTTCCTCAACAAATACATCAAAAAAATTGATATGATATCGGCTCTTTACACTAAAGCTGTCATGCATGGATGAGTTGCTAAGAAGTGATGTTCTGAAGGACCATTAAAATGCAAAAGGTTACGCACCACTTCTGCTATGCAAAAGAAACAAGCAGAGAAGAATGCGGCAAGATAAGTTGGAACAAATCACCATAGCACGACTCACTTCCCTGCAAAACCGCATAATCTAGACGGATGAGTCTATGTCAAATCCTAGGCCATTGTCGGTGCTTTAATCAAAGAGCTCGAGAAGCTTCAATAGCCTTTCACTGGTACCATCACCAAAGAGCAAAGCCTTGCCGTGCAATGCCGTCAAATCACCACTGCTTCTTCAAAAGCAAAAGTATCTCATGTCATGTTTTCTCCCCGTCCTTTTCTTTGTCATTATTTTTACTTGCAAGACAATGAGAAGGAGAGCAATCAGTCGGCACTTAGAATCAACCTTTTAGTCAAGAACCGACTACCTGGAACCCTTTCCCTGATTGCTTACCTAGCATCGCTCTCAAGTACTCACCTTTAACTACTGATGTACTTCCAGAGAAAATGCCACATCTGCCTGGAGAACAGATAAGACAAATGACAATGAAACATCAAGCTTGTGGATAATCAACAAACGCAACAACTGCACGTGCTGATTCATCCCAACAAAGTCGAATCTCACTTGCCATGTGAAACCACTCGTGGTCCCATTTAAATTCAAGATTAAGCCTCAACGGCCCTTGGGGGAATCACTAGTCCGAATCATGATCAAATGTCCACCAGCCTTGAATCAAATTCAGCTCCAGATAAAAAAGTAAATTCAAACCTTTGGAGGAAGTCTGGCAAAAAAAAAAAAAAAAGCCCTCCAGCCCGGTTCAAGATTAAGCCTGTGGAAAATTAACCTTTGGAGGAATCCAAAAAACGTTCCAACCCTTTTCAAGATTAAGCCTGTGGAAAATCAACAATTGGAGAAAACCAGATAATCTTCCAGCCAAATTCAAGATCAAGCCCCGACAGCCCTCAAAGAAATTTCTAGCCCAATTCAAGATCAAGCCTCGACGGTCCTTGGATCGACATCTACATTAAGGGACTTCAAAACACATCTTATACACGTGACAAGCACATATATACGACGCGCCTTGAAGTGGGGGCATTTGTAGACATCGAAATTTTGGTGAAATAAATGTTGACCAATGCATTAAAATTTCAACGTTCACGTGTCACATAAATTTTACACGTAGCGTGTGACTCAATGAAAAATCGGAAAAATGGGAAAAGTCATCAAATAAGACACATGTCAACACCTGATAGAAATGATTTATTTCATCTGAATATTATATTCAAAATTAGGCCTTGAAACAATTCTATAAATATAAGGCCATTTCATCCATTTAAGGGGACCAATTCACATATGCATTTCTCTACTCCCAAATTGGAAGAGAAATCTCCAAATCCTTGAAGTTATAGAACTCTAAAGCTTTCAAGCATCCAACCTTCCAAATTCCCAAGAATCCCGAAGGATCAAGAAAACTCTCTTTGTTCTTCGTCAAATCCTTGAAGAATTTGAAGAACCGTTCATCCTCATTCATCAAGATCAAACCCAAAGCCCCCTTGAAGAAATCCACACAACTGTTCATCAAGATCAAGCCCCAAAGGCCCTTGAAGATCTGTTCATCCTCATTCATCAAGATCAAGTCCAACAGCCCTTGAAGAAATCCACACAACTGTTCATCAAGATCAAACTCTGAAGGCCCTTGAAGATCCGTTCATCAAGATCAAGCCCCAAAGGCCCTTGAAGACCCGTTCATCCTAAGATCAAGCCCCGACGACCATTTGGATCAACAATATCAACAAATTTGCACCACGCTTCATCCCTAGACCAAGCCCCGACGGTCCTTTGGATCAACAGCTCATCCACAAATCTACACCTTACGAAGATAGAATCAGAAGATCAAATTGTAAAAGAGATTGCAACCCCAAAATTAATACAAAATATTATTTTGTACACGTGTTCTTATTTCATTCATCGCAGGAAAATTCATGTTTACAAATAATAATAATATAGTAATAACCCCAATCACAGGACACAAACCATCCCCACAAGGGCCACAACTTGTTCAAATCCTTCTCATAGGAATTTTTTTTTTTTTTTTTGCTTTTTATCCAAAATGGTCACTGAGATTTGTATAACTCCTCACTTTGATCCCTGAAATTTAAAATCGATAGAAGTTGTCCCTGAGTTTGTTCACCATCAATTATTTGTCCTTCTGTGAAAAATCTGTGTTTAGTAAGAACCAAAATAACAAAAATATCCTCAATTTAATAAACAATGGTTCAAAATGATATGACAAAAATTGGGTATTTTTGTCATTTTAATCCTTATTTAACAAAGATTTTCATGAAATAACCAAATTAATTAATGGTGAACAAACTTAGGGACTAGTTCTATCAATTTTAAAAAGTAAAGAATTATGTCAATTTCAGGACCATTTTGACTTAAAAAAAAAATAAAAAAAAACTTTTTTTGGGGGGTTATCAAAAAATCCTTTTCATAGGATTGAGACCAAGAAACTAACATGGCATCCTTATTTCACATTTAATTATTCATCAAAACTCCGGGAAAGTAGAAAACAAAAGAATCCATAAATGACACAATTATTCAATGGATTGTGATTCAGAAGCACATACTATCATACTGCTAACTGTACACTGATTTTCACTATAATGTATAGACTGCGGAAGTTGGAACTTCGGCTTACCCTCATAAGAGTTTCAAAAACAAGTAAATTCCAGTAATCATCTTTCTAGTGAAAAAGAAGATGTACAAGATATTACCATTTTCTTGTTGCAAATAATATGAGGATGAATCAGAGCCCGAAAAAAATCATCGGAGTTACTATAATCTACGGATGTGTTGTATGCTTTCACCGACTATCATCTTTCAAAGGAGGATCCGTTGCATCTTTCAAAGGAAGATTGAAAGTTGGAGACGGAGAAAAGTCCCCATCTTGCTCATTCGACTCAATAAGCATCAAGACAACTTCTCGAATCGATGGACGGTCAAAAGGGGACATACTTGTGCATATCAAAGCAATTTTTAAGACATTAAGCATGTGATCAACAAGAAGTCCATCTAGAAGATTTAACCGACTATCAAGTATCCCAGATGTCAATGAATGGTCTTGAACATAGTGTCTCACCAAGGTGACCAAGTCGCCTCCTTGATCTAGTGATTGGACAGGAGTTCTTCCAGTTAGCAACTCCAACAGAACAACCCCATAGCTATAGATGTCGCATTTTTCTGTAACCTTCATGGTGTATGCGTACTCTGCCATGAAGAAGAGTACATTATCAACCATTCAATAAACAATTGAGTACAGAAATGAGAAGCAAGAACGAACTGAGCAGCTTCAGAGCGAGAAAGAGGTAAGTAAACAAACAAAAATTCAACACGTTCACATCAAACAAAAAATCAGCCAGCCATCAGGGCAAGCACTTCCTAGATAGGTTAACATATATGCATTTGTTTATGAATACACAAATTTTGTGCTCGGGTGTTGGTTCCCTTTCAAAATATACATTATTCAGTCATCTTTCTCAAAATTATATACATTATTCAGTCATCTTTCTCAAAATTAATTACATCAGCAACATTCTTATTCAAGGTTTCCGATGGCAAAATGAGGGGTTAAGAAGGTGGTTTCCAAAACGTGAAGAATTTAAGATTCAATGCTTGATTTTCTTTTCCCTCTTGTTACATATCTCTTCAAAACCAAGGTGTGATTGTTACTTTATTTATCAATATGGAGGAAAAGATTTCCTCTTTACATTTTTTGGTTAAAAGATTTAATTTTTACTGTAGAACATGTATAGAATCACTTAAAAGAAAAATGAGAAATACTAGAAATTGGTTGTTTCATCCGTAAAGAATATTTTTTCTTCGGCAGTATTCTCAGAGAACAAGGCAATTCAATAACTATTCAAGTAAATAAAGATGACCAAAAGGAAAGCTTACCAGGAGCAATATATCCATACGACCCTGCAACTGCTGACATTGATTTTGAATAAGGCATATCAATCACTTTGGCCAAACCAAAATCACCAACATGGGCTTCAAAGTTCTCATCTAGCAAAATATTGTTGGACTTTATATCACGGTGGACAATCTTCGGTTTGCAGTCATGATGTAAATAAGCAAGACCTTCAGCAGCTCCCAAAGCAATCATAAAACGCATTGGCCAGTCCAAGCTACAAGAGTCACCATGAAGCAATTCACCCAAGCTACCCTTTGCCATGTACTCATAAAGAAGTAGATTGGAACCCTGGTGATAGCAGAATCCATATAGCTTCACAATATTCCGATGCCTTATATTTCCTAAGGTCTTAATCTCGGCCTGAAAACTGTTTTCAATGTTATTGCTCTCTCGGTTAGATGACAATTTCTTAACAGCAATAGTCTGTCCAGTTCGCATTACTGCCTTATAAACAATTCCACAAGCTCCCCTTCCAATAACATAGCTTTCATGAAAGTTATTTGTCGCCTCAACTAGATCTTGGAACATAAATCCCTCCTTTGGAGGTAAGTACATATCCGTATCAGGAGATAGAGCATCCTTATCTTGCAAGGAAGGAACTCTCTGGCCTGGATGTCTCATGAAATATAAGATAACAGCAATTAGAATAAGAGAAACGCCACCCACAGCAGCAGCAATTACTGTAACAATTTTACTGCGTTGAGTACCCCCACTTGCCAGAGATGGAACAGATTGAGGAGATGAATTAACATTGCAACCACCAAGCGGTCTGCCACAGAGCCCTTTGTTACCGATGAAGCTGCTAATCTCCATGTTCTGAAACAATGGGATGGAAGGTAAAGGTCCAGTAAGGTCATTGTATGAGAAGTTGCACCCTAGTAAGCTTGACAGACCCTCAAATGTGCTAGGAATTTCACCAGTTAAATGGTTGTTATTGAGCAAGAGGAATTCAAGCATATTAAGATTTCCAAGAGCTGGCGGTATTCTCCCACTGAAATTATTAAAGCTCAGATTCATTGCAATCTGCAAGCTTGAAATAGAACCCAATTCTGGTGGTATTTCACCAGAAAACAAGTTGGCACCCATCTGCAACTCAGTCAAATGGGAGAGGTTTCCTAATTCTGCTGGTATGTTTCCCGTGAAATTATTTTCTGAAAGCCTGAGAAGCTCTAGTTGCAGAAGTGTTCCCAGCTCATTTGGCAAAGCACCCATGAACCTATTTCGACTGAGATCAAGTCGTTGAAGCATCTTGCAGTTAACGATTTCTGGTGGAATCCGCCCGGTGAACAAATTGGATGATGTGTTGAACGTCACCAGTTGAGACAGATATCCTATTTCCTTTGGCAACTCAGATGTAAAGTAGTTGTCTGAAATATGAAGCCTTTGCAACTTTTGGCAGTTCCTAATCTCTGGAGGAATTGGACCAGTGAATTTGTTCTGATCCAATTCAATCGCAGAAAGGTTTGGCAAACTGCATAGTTGCGAAGGAAAGCTCCCAGTAAGCATGTTTCCAACAAGACGAAGTTGCACCAAGGACTTGCAGTTCAAGACTCCAGCCGGAATATTTCCGATCAGATCATTAGACTCCAGGTTCAACAAAATTAGATTGGAATATCGACAAATATATGGAGGTATTCTTCCTGTCAGTAAGTTATCGGATAAATCAACTACCCACAGTCGGCTGTGAAGTCCAAGCCCCCGCGGTATGCTACCACTTAGAGAATTGTCGAACAGTTGTAACTGGTACATTTGAGTCAAATATTGAAACCCATCGGGGATAGGACCTCTGAGATTATTAATGGAAAGGTCAAGCTTAGTCAGGTTCCCCAAGCCACTCAGTTCATTTGGAATCACACCCGTAAGCTGGTTCTGGAACAGGTACAGTAAGGTTAGACCCTTTATCTTACTTATCTCTGATGGGATCTCACCTGTCAAATAGTTCTCCGAGAAATCAATCTCAGATGCCAAAGAAAGATTTCCAAATTCCCTTGGAATGGTTCCATTCAAGCCATTCCTGTAAATGTACAATTTCCTCAATGACTTGAGGTTCCCAATTTCTGGAGGTAAAGGCCCCACAAGATTGTTCTGATACAAAGCAATAGTCTCAAGGCTAGAGCAATTTCCAAGCTCCTTGGGTATAAATCCTGATACCTGGTTACCCCACAGAACCACATCTGTCAAGCTTTGAAGCATCCCAAACTCCTTAGGCAATTCCCCTCCTATAGAATTTTGGGCGAGACCAAGCAATTGCAAGCTCTCACATCCACCTATTTCGGCCGGTAGGCTACCAGAAATAGCATTCTGCCCAGCTCTAAACGTTACCAGATTCTTGAGATTCCCAAGGGAATGAGGTATTGAACCAGTAATATTGTTGGTGTATACCACGAACTCAGCCAGTGAAGACAAGTTCCCAATCTCATCTGGAATCGGACCACTGATTCTGTTATTACAAAGATTCAAAACTGTTAAATTTAACAGCTTACCCACTTCCAAAGGTATTTGGCCAGTGAACTTGTTATTGTTCAGATAAATTCTTTCCAAACTCCAACAGTTTCCTATCTCCTTAGGAATACCTCCCACGAAACCATTGTCTGAAAGATCAAGAGAAGTTAGGTGGACCAAACCACCAATGCTAGGACTGAGGACTCCCGAAAGATTCAGGGAACTCAAATCAAGACCCTTAACCACTGGATCGTAACCAGAAGAGCAATTTACACCCATCCATCCGCAAGGTGTTTGATCAGAGGAGTTCCAATTTCCCAAAAAATCAAATCCATCCTGCATACTTTTCTTCAGCTCTAAAAGGCAGAGCCCTTCATTATTCAACCCCTCTGAAATAGAAGCAAGTAGGGCTAAGGCAAGTAAAATTCTCGCAAACTGCAGTTCCAAAGCCCTCCTCACCTCAAATGCTTTCGTCATTTTAGTAACACTGAAATGAGCACAATCACAACATAATCAGATAATTAAACACCTGCTCATCCAAGCTCATCAGATGCAAAGTAATACACATAAACTAATCCTCAACACCAAGCAAAATACAACCAGATTTCTAATAATAAAAGAATTTGATAATTCGGAACCTGGTTTAAACAGACCAGTTTGAGTGTTTCACAGCACAAAATCCAAGTATACCAAGTCATTAGGGAATCAAACCATCCATTTGAAAGAACAAACTTCGATATTTCGATAACTCAACAATATAAATACATGACAGAAAGAGACTAAAAGTGAAGTAGACACCTAAATGCTAAAGGGGCAGGAATAACAGAGTCATTTGAAGCAACCCAATAACAAAAAAAAATTAATTTAGCAAATTACTATCTCAAACTGAATGATCAAAATTAACCAGACAAGATTAAAGATTAACAAATCAGTCATAAAAAAAGGCACCAAAACTGAAAAGTAAATTAACCAAAATTAACCATATTAGAGCTGAGAACATACCTCTCAATGTCTAAGAACGCTCATAGAAAAAAGAAGTGGCAATGTAAGCAGCAAGTCCAGCAGCAGTGGGGGGCAGTAACTTCCTCAAGTAACAAACTGAAAACCATGGGAATTATGAACCAGAAGAAAAAAGTGAGACAAACCCAGTTCGCCTTTTCCGACAAATGGTGGGGATCTCCGGTCTAGAGGCCAAGATTTGCGCAGAAATATCTCAAAGCCCACACCTTTATTGCCCCTTTTTGCAGCAAGAAACTCAGTAGATTCAAAGAAAGATCTTTCTTGGAATATTTTATTCCAGAAGAGAGAGAGAGAGAGAGAAGGGGAAAGGCAAGTGCTGGAGTTAAGTTGGAGCTTATGGGGGTACTGACTGTCGTGAATGGAATGATGGGTGTGAGAGGAGAAGGGACCAGAGCTCTTGGGTTGAAGCTTTAATGGCCGACAAAGCATGCTTTCATCATTTTTCACATCTGTTCTATCTCTTTCGCTGCGTGTGCTATCTGTGCTGAGCTGCTGAGTCTCTCTTAACTCTCTCTCTCTATCTCTCTAGATAGAGACGAAGAAGAAGATGGATGATTGTGGGGACTCGGTTTTCCTCTCTTTTAGTGCTTGGAAAGGGTGGAGGGGAACTGTGAACTTTTTGGGCAACCCAAAAAGTTTGAATTTTTTTTGTTTTTTAATTTTAATCTTTTGAGAAAAAGCCTTGGGATTTTATGGATTGAGTTGGTAGGTAAGTAATAAAACTCTATAACAAATAATATTCTTTTTGTATCTATGATTCGTATTTATCTGTAATTCTGTATTAAGATACGATTTATCGAAGAATCTTTTGTTAATTAACTTTTTTTTTTCTGTCGAAGTTAATTAACTCTTTTACGTTTATGATTCTCACTTATGGAACCTAGAAGATGCATTCGAAGACACTAAAGACTAGATAAAGATAAAATATTGGCCACAGTTACTTCAAAAGAAGAGTTTAGTTACAATATTATGTGGTTGTAAGTGTATCACGAGATTAATCGGAAGGGACATTTTGATATAAACGCGTTGTTTTTAAATATCATAGACTAAACATCTATTCCTTTTGCAAATTTGATTAAACATTTTCCCTACAATTTTGGTACTTTAATTTTATTTCATTAGAAGTCTATTCACGTTAGTATTCCATTTTTTCCTCTTATTTTTATGCATCTCTTATTATGATGATTTAAGATTTTTTTTAATTTTTATTAAAATATTTATTTTAGTAAATTAAATATAATGGAACAAAATTCATTGTTAGGTACGTTTGGTATATCGGTACGTTTGATTATAATAGTACCTTTGAATTTTTGGTCCATTTGGCTTCTTGGTACATTTGAATTTTTGATACATTTGAATCTTTGGTACGTTTGTTTTCAAAATATAAGTTTTATTACTTTTTGTCCTGATAATGAGGAATTACTTTAATTAATTTTTTTTTTTATAGAAAGAATCATTAACAATATAAAAGTTTAAATTACTTTAATTAATTATTATTTTTTTTATAGAAAGAGTCATTAATTAACGGACAATAGCCTTTTTGTTAATTCAAAATTATATGATTTATTGTTATTATTTAGCATTATCTACAATAATAAGGATTTATCTATGATCAACTAAAAGTTGTTCCATAGACTTATCTAACAAAAAACAAGATCATCTAGAGCATTGTGTATGAATCAAACATATTTTTAAACATTTCAAAAAGGTGAATATTCATTTTAATATAGTTTATAATTAGGTACGTTTTAATTCGGGGTTGGTACATTTTTCATTTGACGTTGGTATGTTTTCATTTAATGTTGATACGTTTCCATTTGGCGTGGGTGTACATTTAGATTACAAAAGTTTAAATTTTTTAGATTTAAATATAGTTGAAATTATTTAAAATATATAGCAGATATTTAAATGTAAATTAATTTCAATTAATCTAAAATAGTTCAAGTATGAGAATCTTAATCAAATGTTTTAAAAGCTTAATCAAAAACTCAAAAAACATAAATGTCTAGTCTACAAAAGTCTAAAATGAGGCATCTAATATAAAGATGAGGAGGATATTATGTTTCTTTAAATTTGAGTCGTTGATTTTACATTGAATACAGTGTAGCATTCTACGTATGAAATGAAAACTTAGCATCGTAATTCATGATAGGAAACTATGAATCTTGTTCCTTATGTACATAGAAGATACGACAAAGGGATAGACGAGTTGAGTCGTGTTACTTTCACTTAAGAAATTGGTGTTCGCATACTCATTTTCATCATCTGCATGTTGCCGTTTATTTCAGACATACAATTTGAATAAAACAAACATAATCCAAGAACAAAACTAATCAAGCAATGTATATATAAGCAGAACATGAATATTCGAAAATCATTCTCTCTTGTTTTTTGCTTAATCAGCACCATAATCCAAAATATGCATAGGCAAATTACGAGTATATCATAGTAATAGTCCAGAAATCTCAGGGATACGGACTTTTATCTTGACGAAACGGTAGAGGAGATATGGACCATAGAAAATGAAACTAGAAATAGGTTGCCCAACCACTAGGGTAGGAGGCAGGCAATAGCTTTACGTCCATATCATGAGCTGCCAGAGTCCATAGTTGTGGGTTATATATAAGTCTGACGACTAATCATAGACATGTTGAAAGGTGAATTCGAGGTCCCGCACAAGGCAAAGGGGTAAGGTTCATGCTATGCGCTGCCCATATTATCTCTCTGACTTGGACAATTGTTGTGGGTTGGCTCATCTCCACTCAACTACGAAACCCCATCTATTTCGTTAGAACAAAATTGACTTATTCAAAAACATTTTATTACAATAGCATTACAGTTTAGTGATGTTATTTTTAAATTATACGTGTACGGTCTTAGATTAAATCATCGTCTATAATTGGTTCATTGTTGTCCTTACTCATATCTCTAATATTCTCAGTGTGTGTGTGTGTATATGTATATCATACATATATATATATATATATATATATATGTATGTATGTGTGTGTATTTGTATTAAAAATATTATCTTCGTAAATTTGTAATCCTAACAAGTTTAATTATTTTTGTTGTTATTTTAGAAAAGTGGTTATCAATCCAAGGGTTTGTTAAGTAAAACTCAATTATTTTTTTTAACAAACCATATTATCTACATTAAGAGGGTGAGAAAGTGGGCTAAACCTCATAATCGGTTAGCAATAATGTGGTTCAAATTCGTCTTTGGCAAGAATCGAACCTAACACAAGTGAAGATGAATACAAGTATAAGGTCTTATGTTCGATTCTCATCAAAGACGAATTTGAATCACATTACTACTAGCCTATTGCGAAGCTTAACTTACTCTCCCACTCCTTAATGTAGTTAATATCTTCACGTCATCAAATTTCCAAATTTGAGCTAGGGCACCATTTTTCAATTTTTTGGCATGCCCATTCTACCCTCCCACGTTGCAACTCATTAATCATTTCATGTAATTAATGCTATTTAAGTTGATTATTTCACTTACCATTTATTTTGAAGAGTTAGACAAATTTCCTCTTTAGTTACCATTTTTAGAATTCATTACTTGATTTCAAGTTTGTTTGGAAATGCTTTCAAAACCAATAAAAGCGTTTTTAAAGAAAAAGTCTACTTGACATAGAGTTAAAGGAATTCAAGTGATTAGGTTGTGCCTTGCTTATTTCAATTCAAAAACAAACAAGTGTAGCTACTTAGTACTACGGTCTAGTGATATTCCTCTTTATTTGTAAGTAAGAGGTCTTAAGTTCGATTCTCACCAAAGACAAATTTGAACGATATTATTGTTAGCTCATTGTAAGGCTAAGCTCACCCCTCTTTCTAATGTAGATAATATCGTTTGGTTAAAATAAAAAATAAAAAAAAACATAATTTATAACTATCACGCAAATAATGGCAATTCTCGTAATTTCCAGAGAAAACATTGGGCTATAATTTGCTTATTTGAATAATATCCTCTAGGGTAAATATGTGGTTTTTTTTTCTCCATATTTCATCCCAATGACTGAGTCTATAAAAGCTCCTTTTGTTATTTTAGGTTTTTTTCCAAATATTTTCAAAGGTCTATGTTCAAAATGTCACTTCACCAAGTAATATTCTGGATTTTGTATTACTTCATTCTTTTTCTCAAGTATTGTTTTATTTACATGCACCTGTTTAAACCATACTTATCGCTTCCTTATTGTTTTTCAATAGAGGAAATCTCATTGCCACTGAAGGTGATTCAAAGATTTTGATATATGTCATTAAGCAAGATATTTTAGCTCCTTGACATGTTCTATCTATTGTAAACAAATATTTGATAACATTTGCAGTAAATTCTTGTAGTCATTCTTGTATTTAGATCAATAATTTTCTTAAAATAAAAGTTTCTAGGTTAAATTTTGATATGTTTGGTAATTGTTTGGATTAAAAATAGACTGTTGGTTTGTCCAAGGCCTATCATGCTGAAATTTGTCTGAAAGCTTAATCAGTATTTGATTTATGCGCAAATGAACAGAGCATGGCTCAAACTTTAAAAGTTCTTTATGACGTAGCAATTGTAGGCGATAAAAAGCCTCTTTCACATAGAAGGAGTATTCCGTCCAAATTTATAGAGGAAAAACACTTTCTAGTGGCAAGTTCATAGTTTTAAGGGGATAAAATCTCAAGTATCCAGGTGAAAACTCATACTCTAATAGCAATCACTTCAGCCACTTGGATAAGAGGGAACAAACTAAAAGAGAAAGGCTTACTTTGAAAGAAAGAGGTGGTTCTATAAAAGGAAGAAGAAAAAACACTCAACTCAACATACAAAAAGACTTTAAAGCTCTGCAAAGCCTACATTTTATAAATTCAATGTAGTTCAAACATTCTTTACATTGATAGCTCTACTACTTCCTTTGTAGTATCGATTTCCTATATTAGAATCTCTTCTCAAAACACACTTTGTACTTACAAGAACTTGTCCGAGAGGCGAGCAGTCTTGTCTGAATATGTTTAAATTGCCCAATTGCTTGTATTGATTGCTTGTCCCCAAGTTATTTACTTTTCCTGCAAGTTATTGCTCTGTTGTTTAATACATTTAACCTGCCTTTATGTTTCATCGCTTTAAATACTTTATCTTTCAAGTCAATTTGTCTTGTTTACTGTCCTTACGAGAATTGTGAACCAATTCGAGCACAGTTCGATCAGTTTTTGGTTCTCCCTGGGTAGCAAAACAAAGAAATATAAAGTTCTTGTCACCAAGACATAAAAATGTACATAACATAGATTTAACTCTTGTATGGCACAATCCATTTGATAATGAAGTTGAATCAGTTGTGGCACAAGCAAGCAACTTGAAGCAAACCAATCAATTAATCAGTTTGTTGGTACAGCCAACAATGGTTCGCCTAAACATCACAAACTCGTTTAAGATAGCATGAAAGCCTATTCAAGGCCCCTCAAAGGCCCCCTAAAACTAACAAAGAAT